CCGGTTACGAAGTGATGGAGATCAACGCCAGTGACGATCGTAGCCGGGATGTCGTTAAGAATCGGATCCGCACGAGTCTAGGCACCGAAAACGTCAAAACAGTACAACAGAGCAAACCTCAGGATGGAAAACCACAGAAGGTCGCACGTCCCGTATGTGTGGTCGTCGACGAAGTTGACGGTGTCGTGACAGGCTCCGGCGGCTCTGGCGAAGGTGGCTTCATTAAAGCTCTAATGGACTTGATTACGATTGGAGAGAAAAACGCCTCAGGACAAGAGGCAACGGCCCAATACTCAGGGCGGCGCAAGAAGAAGGGCGATGATTTCCGCCAGATGCGACCAATCATCCTGATCTGCAATGATGTTTACCATCCGTCCCTGAGGCCACTACGTCAGTCGAATTTAGCTGAAGTCATCCACGTCGGCAAACCTACTATTGACGCAGTTGTAACTCGCCTCAAGACAGTTTTTGAGAAAGAAGGAATTCCGTGCGAAAAAGACGCCGCACGAAAATTGTGTGAAGCAGCCTGGGGCATGAGCAGCGGGATCGATGCAAAAAAGGGCGCAGAGAGTACAGCAGAGGGTGACCTCCGGGGTATCATGGTTGTGGGCGAATGGGTTGCTGGCCGTGTTAGGTCTGCATCCCTCAGAGGCACGCCCTCTCTAACACGGCAGTGGGTTGAGCGGAATATCGTCCACGACCTAGCTCATGGCGGCGGAGGTTCCAGGGGCGTAGGTCGGGGTAACGTCAAGGATATCGTTACGCGTATTTTCCAAGACGGCGCTGGGTTCCCGAAGAGCAACTTACTTATCAAAGCCCCATCATCAAAATATCAAAGTGAACAGCCCCAAACGCAGCTGGGCTTCTCCGAGCAGCAGAAGAAATATGGCATGGAGCGACTCAGAGAGATGGTTGAGACCAGTGGCGACGTGGATAGGGTCATAACAGAGATATTTCTGGATTATCCGAACCACGAATTCTACGACGATTCATTCCTGTCCAAACCAGATAGCGCTTACGAATGGATGCATTTTCACGATGCTTGTTCGTCGAAGTTATTCGGAAGCCAGGACTGGGAGTTGGCTCCGTACCTCTCCCAGCCTATCCTCGCATGCCATCACTTGTTCGCATCACCCATACGGCGCGCCAATCTGGGTTACGACCGGAAATGGGGTGGCGGTGATACCGAGGATGACTCACCACCACTTCCCTTCTCAGGTCCAAGGGCGGACTATGTCGCGCGAGAGACCCAGAAGGAAACCCGCGCGGTACTCCAGGAGATGCAGGGTCAGCTATCGCCAACGCTCATGCGCTCTTTCCGCAGCGCCGAGGATATCGCGACAGACTTCCTGCCATACCTCATCCGCCTGGTGTCACCAGATGTGAAGCCCGTTGTCGTTGGAGGTAGCGGAGACCAGCGTGGCACAGCGAGCGTTCGGAGGGACACTGAGAAAGCTATGGTGCAGAGAGCTGCCGACGTGCTAGCCGAGGTCGGCATCGAGCTTCAGAAAGGGAAGATCGAAAGCGAGTCCCACTTCGGCAGGGGGCCGGAGTGGGTATATCGCATGGAGCCGTAAGTCTCGATTCCTTATAATCACGAGTGTTCTTCACAGCTAATTACTGACTACCCTGCAGTGACCTTGACGTCCTAGCTACATTCGAGACTTCAGCAGCCATCCTCCATGGTACGCAGGCCCCGACACGATACGCTGTCCGACAGGTTCTAGACCAGGAGCTGCAGAAGGCGAAACAGCTGCGCGAGAGGTCGGCGCGGCAGGCGCGCTTCCGGGCTGGTAATCCGCACGCCACGGCTGCGGAGGACCCGTTGGTCTTCAACGACAAGGAGAATGCTAAGGCCGCTAAGGTACCGATGTTGCCCGTGCTCGGGGTGAAGAAGGACTTCTTCGGCCGCGTCATCGAGAACACGGAAGTTCGCGCGCTGAGGGAGACGAATGGTAATGGGAGGCCCAGGAGCAAGGCTGGCGACGAGTACTTCGGCAAAAGCGACAACAAGGTCTGGGTCACATTCCACGAAGGCTTGAATAACGCGGTGCGAAAACCTATATCGCTAGATGAGCTTCTCAGGGGCTTGTAGATAGAATTCGACGACGTACAGGTTAATGATGCGTTTGGGTTTGAGCGCGCGACTTAGGCAGGCATAGGAGCATAGCTGCGGCGTTCAGGATGCAATGGGCATCGTCTATTAAGTGAAGTCTATCATAGCGCTTGTTATCACATATTATGGTCAAATAATTCATCACGATCATACATCTATAGAGGTGTTGGAGATTTCAGAATTATCCGTCGTCGTCTAGATCACCCCCTTTCCGTCTCTTCCATCAGCTCCAGGACTCCCCGGAACATCTCCGCCTCCGCTACCATCTGCTCCGCCGTCCGCGGGTGCCGCTCCGAGTCCTCGATGCTGGGGAATCCGCCGCCTGGTTCTGGCCGCGCCCCGAGCGACTGCTCGAATTTTTTCAGCTCCCGATCCCATCTGTTTGTTTATGGTATTAGCATACGATATTAGGTAAGAGAAGGGAGACAACGTACAAGGCCCCGCCCACGTTGCCATCCTCGGCGGCCATGGACTCGTAGATCTGGTCGCCGGGGCCCGGGGCCTCCTTGGCGGTGGCGCCGCGGATGCGCGGGATGACGTGCACGTGCACGTGGGCGACAGTCTGGCCGGCCTCGACGCCGTCCTGGATCGCGATGTTGAAGGACCCGGCCTCGGGGCTGCCGTCTGCCGGGTGTTCTTCCTTGCCGTTGGTCTGATGAGGTGGTGGTGATGAAGACTTTATAGGGCAGGAGGGGGAATCAGGGGATGGGGATGGGGAGGGCGGAGAGGAGAAGTAGTGCAGGGCTAGCATGTGCTGTATCCGCTGCACCGCTTGGAATAGGTCCGTCAGCTCTAAGGCCGTCAGCTCCGTGAGCCGCCGATGTGGCTTCCGCGGGCACACTAGCACGTGTCCTGGTAGCAACGGCTTTAGGTTTACCAGCGCGAATGAGTGCGGTGTTGTGAAGAAGACCTGCGGGTGGTTAGTTGAGTGTTTGATGAAGGGGTTCGTAGTGTTGAGATCATTAGTGGGTGGCGGTGAGATGATTCTTGTTCATTCTCATTCTTAATCACTCAATTCAACACCCATTATAGACCTCATATATAACTCGAAAGCGATATGTTGAGATAATAGGGAGGCTAGCTATATGTGGCTCGTGTAAGACAGACTCACCTGAGGTGTGACCTCGAACGGGCCAAAGTAGATGGGCCCTATCGGCTGCGAACTCATATTTCGTTTTATGGTATTGTTAGCGAAGATAAGGTTGAATATCGACGAAGCGGCCTTTCGTGGCATGACCTAAATAAATCAGACGATACTATTGCGTGGCGTTCATGTTATTTATATATTATATATAAAGGTACGTATTTACACGTTGAGGTGAAGAGAAGTAAATCAGATTTGAAATTACTACGCGGTCGTTTGACCCCCGGTAACAATTATGACGTCGTCAATGGCAGGGTCCGAAGTTAAGGCGCCTTCCTCATTCTGACCATTTCGTCTTCCACTTTCCTTTCTGATTTGCCTGGTAAGGCAGAGTAATTCCCAAGCCGCAAGCGAGTTGGATGCCGATGGCTATGCACTGTCACCTGTCACCCGAATTCTAGACCGCAATTGCCTCAACTGCATCTGTCATACAGATTTACTGCCGATGCAAACGCGCATCTTATTTTTTTAAGATTTATCATCCATTTCTCTATTAATCGCTCTTACTTTATTCATGGACATGTCCGGTCTTCATGATTTAATTTAGATTCCTTCTATGACCATCAATGAAGAGTTTTCCACTTGAGACCTCGGCCAATCTGAATAAAGCAGCGGAACAGATAATGTACGAAGTACCAGCACCAGTTCGCCCAACGATACCAATTTTCTTGCCTTCTTACATGTCAACACTCAATAACGCATGACAAATCTCACATTTCCCATGGTTTCATTAACTTTTAGGCTCTGCTTCGATTTGATATTCTTGAACAATCATCCGCTATATAGGGATCTCCCAGTACTTCCTATCTTGCACGGCTGTCCCGAAACTTTCACAGGTTCTCAAGCATCGTTAGCTTCACAACTATTGCTCACGAACGACAGCAGGAAGCGCAAAACAAGAGGATGTCTACCTAGCAGAGCGAGGTTGTTACTTGCTAGATATTACTTCCATTTAGGCCCAAAGGGGGGTTTGAATGCGCATGATGAATGAAGCAGGCCCCCTTGACTAACTTAATAGGGGCTTTCTGACAAACACATAGCGAACAGTAACCAGACAATGATAAGCATCGATTAGCCAGGATACCACATTATTCCCAGGTGTATACACAGAACGAAAGCTTAGCAAGATACCTAGGTATATACTTAGCATATCAAGGCATTCATCCAATGTGAGCTATTGGATGGTACACCATCTAGGACGTCCTAGACCAACACAAATTTCATATCCGGCCCAATAAGCATGGAATAGTAGTTATACTAAGTCACGTCTATTTTAACGCACTACCAAGCTATTGTCAAGTAAGTTTTACTCTACTATTTCTTTGGAGAGTAGTCTCGGTTCCTATTGACTTCTCGATTTCCATTCTTAATGACTGATCTTACATGTCTTGCTAGATGTGCGTAGAATAGGGTACCAAAAGAGGTTGTAGTCTAAAAGTATCGCCATTGAACGACAACGCCTATGTCTTGACAGAACCCGCGGTTTTGTTGAATTCGACATGGTCGATATTAAAGGCTACTAGGGTATATTAAGTGTCTATCTAGGAGGGAATGCTGTTTCTCACCATAAGTGCCGCGTAACTGTGATGGCAGCGATCATGTTGCTGGAAGAGCTCAGGATCTGTCGTTATAAAGACCACGATGTACCTAGATATATAAGAGATCTCGATAATTTACTATTTGATCTTTCACGTTCTAGCATTACTTGACGTAGATAGTTACCTTTAATACCAAAAAGACTGGACGAGCAGGGAATCGAACCCGGTACCTCTCGCAATTCTCACCAAAGTGTGCGAAGCGAGCGCTCTACCAAATGAGCTACACGCCCCTCGTTTGGTAGGCGCTAGGATGCACGCGCGATTAACCGCTGAACATTATTGGCAAATACATGCCAGCTAGCTAATGTATTCTAGATGTTTGCTTATAGTCCTTAGTTCTACAGCAGATGAATCTGCCCATAACGACGGACTCTCAAGAAAGACACCGTAGGTACCTTGATTATGATAAGGGAGTGGCATTCTGGCAATGGACAGCCTAGATATCCGGTACAGGTTCTAAGATGCTCATAGAAATAGCAGATACTGAACAGATATATAATAGAAAGCGTACCGCTTTTCATGTATGTAACCCACGAACAGAAGAGAAAGGTTCTAAGTATACAGACCCTTTTTAATGGATTTGGCAAGATATAGTATCTAAAGTCACTTAAGGGGGGGGGAAGAACCAGATCCTTCGTGGAAGGATCATATAGACGGATCTAGTTAATCCTACAGAGTGAGTCATTAGTTCAACTTCCAATTTTAGGACGAGTCTCTAGAATTGTTATATACCTCCTACCTACAGGTAGGTAGCTATAGAGCTAGATAGGCAATCTTCTAGGAGCCCACAAGTTATGATTCCCATCTAAAGGCTTCATATAGCGTACATGACCTAGGCAGCTACAAGTCTAGGTAGGTATACATGGTATGTTTACCTTCCCTATTTTCGATAATTAATGGCTGGATCATCTAATTCCGCCAATTAACTTATCAGCAGGCCATTGAATTAGAGGAATATCCTTCAAGTGGTTCTTTCTCCTTCCTAACGACCTATACCGTGGCTCCTGTTTAGCAAGAATCAACACCTAACCTCGGCGAATACACAACACCATGGGTGGGTTTCTATTAGAATTACTGTATTCTGTTTTACCTGGGGGAAAACAAACGAGGCATTCATAATTGAGAGCTCCCATCGTTGCTTGAATCTTTTGGTGTTGACTGATGACTAATATTGTATTATTTCTGTGTAAATCATTGTTCGTCTGAGTGCAATTGACGAATGAGAATTGAGCATTAGCGGCCCGTCGTAGGTCTCCGTCGGCCGCAAAACTCGAATCGGTGGCAAAAAGCTGGAGAGCGCCGTCTCCGAAAGATAGCGGCGACGTGCGAATGAACGGGAGGGAAAAGAGAAGCGCGGTTGGTGTTTACAAAGACTAAAAGCAACACTATTACCTAATAGTAGGTCGGTCGGTTGGTTGTCATTACGTTGGAGAAAGGTCTTGGTTACTACCTAAACTTATAGCGCCGAATCGTTATCTTCCCCAGATTTATCGCCATGGAGAGAGAGAAAAAAAGTATTTAAAGCTTCGTTGTCGTCCCTATATCCCAACACCCTTTCTTCTCACGTTAGGAGCAACTTCAGCGTATGATCGCGCGCAGGTGTAAGAGAGAAGGGAAAGGCATACTTCAGAGTCCGTACTAGGAGCGTCTGCAGCCACTCTATCTATCTGTATATCCATCATTATAAATTATAGAACAGAAGAAGGTCTTCCATGACCCTCGAATCGAAACATGCAGATGACAGCTGCCTCATAAATCAAACTGTCCCGGCGGGGGTCTTAGGATCCCCGTTGGAGCACCTTGACGAAAAGAGTCAACTTCCAAATCCAAATCCAAGTTCAATTCCAAATCCCAGTGCCAACTCTGGCCAAGACCAAGACCGAGTCCGTGATGTCGAGAGCCAGACGGGACGTTCCCATCCCGTCGAAAATGCCGATGCTGCGTCTATATCGCCGTCGTCATCATCTGACGAAGTCGAGAATGACGCCGATTTCCCTGAAGGCGGCCTGGCGGCCTGGCTCGTCGTCCTAGGCTCCTTCTGCGCCATGATCTCCGTGTACGGCATCATCAACGTCGCCGCCGTGTTCGAGTCGTACTTCTCGACGCACCAGCTCGTCGGCTACGACTCTTCCACCATCGGCTGGATCTTCAGCGTGTACCTGTTCATAGTCTTCTTCTTCGGCATCCAGGTCGGCCCCATATTCGACCGCTACGGTCCTAGGCTGCTGGTTGCTGTCGGTAGCTTGTTGGTCGTCGCTAGCCAGCTGCTCCTAGGGTTATGCGAAGGTAAGTTAGCCGCGACTGTCATCTACAACTCTTTGATTTAATTTATGCGTGAGATGATGCTCTTTCTAACCAGTCGGCAAAAATAGAGTACTACCAGATCCTCCTCACATACTCCGTCCTCGGGGGGCTCGGCGGCGCGCTACTCAACGTGCCGGCATACGGCGTGATAGCGCACTTCTTCAAGCGGCGGCGGGGTCTCGCCACCGGTGTGGCCGCGACGTCGGGGTCCATCGGGGGCGTCGTGTTCCCCATCTTCCTGCAGGCCGTGATCCCCAAGCTGGGGTTCGCCTGGAGCACGCGCATCATCGGCTTCATTCTGCTGTTCCTGTCCGCGATAGCTAACCTCCTGGTGCGCTCGCGCCTGCCGCCGAGCCGGCATCCCATGAGGGTAATGCCCGACTGGTCGCTCTTCAAAGACCTCAAGTTCAGCCTGTGCTGCGCCGGCGTGTGGTTCATGGAGTGGGGCATCTTCACGCCGCTGACCTACATCGTCTCGTACGCCGCGGCTCACGGCCAGAACGCCACCGACGCGTATACGCTGCTCGCCCTGCTCAACGCGGGCTCATTCCTGGGCAGGTTCCTCCCGGGCTTCCTGGCCGATCGCTGGGGCCGGTTCAATATAATTATCCTCACGAATGCGCTGTGCGTTGTGACCGTGCTCGCCTTCTGGCTACCGGCGGGCGACTCGCGGGCCCTGCTCATCGTGTTCGCTGTGACCTTCGGCTTCGCGTCCGGTAGCAATTTGGGCCTATACCCCGTGTGCATCGGCCAGCTGTGCGAAGCGCGCCACTACGGCCGCTTCTTCTCGACCGCCATGATGACAGGCAGCTTCGGCACCCTGACCAGCTTGCCCATCGCCGGCGCACTGCTGAGCATCGGCAGCACCCCAGAGCAGGGATGGTTGGCGCTGATCCTCTTCGCCGCGTTGTCGTACGCCATCGCCATGTCCTGCTTCCTCGGAGCGCGGGTTCTGGCGGTTAGTTGGAGGGTGAAGGAAGTGTACTAAGGAACGAGTCTGACTATGGTCTTGTTGGTGTCGTTTGAGAGTAGGTGATGGGCGAAGGGGCGTCATGAGGAGTTAGATAACTTAAGCACTTGGGTACCACAAGATAGCTGCAGCACTCGTAGCGGCCAATACAAAGTCATTCGCCTAGATTGTGGCGCTCTTCGTGCATCAAATTGTGTATATATGGTAGATTTAGATCTTCAGTAAATCTCATTGCCCCTGATGCACAAGAGCATACTAAATCAGAAGGTCGCCCAGCTACACAATCCACCACCATCTAAAACATAATCTAACTGTAAGGGATGTTACATAGTCATGCGTACGTGATCGTAATCCCCGATTCGCACCATTCCCGCCAACGCCCGGCTCTGCTTGGGATCTTATGTGCACATGTACACATATATAATAATAGGTAAGAAAGGTTACGCTAGTCGTAATAGGGGCATATGTAAAGCAGTTATCAACAAAATCTATCTCGCATCCTACATTTCGCCGTCTGTAGTATTTATATGAAGATTCGTCTAAATTCGGGGTAACGTCTCACTTGGGATCTCTTCGTCGGACACGATGTCAGGATCTGAAGCATCACCAGGGACTCGTACTGGAACTGAGATAAATCCATCCTCCTTTATGTGTACTAGGTGAAAATCAGTAAGTGTAAATTCGGTGAAGCATACAGGACATGGATACTTACAATGCGGCCTCACGAAGAAACTTCCAAGGACGGATAGCCCGAAAAGTGAAGCCAGGAGGACGAAAAACGCCTGTGGGAACGTCTCGACTGTGCCGGCGTATACTCCATTAAAGAGAGCTGGGGCGAAAACTCGTCCAAGCGCATGCATTAACCCGGTGGCTCCTAGTATAGATCCTACACGTTCAGCAGGAACATGTTTTGTGATTGAGCTTTGGATGGTGGCACTCGCTAGGCCACCAAATGCCGTCGCTAGACCACATAAGACAAATAGCTCCTCCCGGCGGACGAATATGTATCCAGCAGTGCCTAGACCGTCACTGAGGAGAGCGAATCGCAGCAACCACACATCTAGGTTGTCGGCGCCAGAGTTCGTTTCGACCACGTTCGTATCGCCGCTTTCGCGTCTTTTACGACGCAGCGGTAAGACGCGGAACACGTAATTGACAATGGGGAAGATGCAGAGGAGGATCACAACACGCGCCATACTGACGATGGAAACGAACCGCGAGGCTTCCAGAGTTCCCCAGTCAAATATGAACTCGGAATATAGCACAATAACCGTCCCCGCTCCCATTGCCGCGGATAGAATCATCATATCGATGAGCGCGAGGATAATCAAATTCCGCCGCAGGGGACCGTTGCCACGGCCACCTGGTATGAGTATTTTCAGCGGTGCTAGTGGATTGGCACCTAGAACCACTGGTAACCAAGTTTCCATATGGTCATCTACGATCGAGGCAACCCGTGATCCAACCAAACCCTCGACCGAACTTGGGAGTCCTGATCTCAACTGTAGTACCGTAGCTTCACGCTCGGCTCGATGCTTTTCGCGTGCAGCCATCTGGCGTTTCTTTGATATCGAATCAGGCAAGATGAACCAGAAGTACAGGATAACGAAGGCATGACAGCCAAGAACTACGTAGAATATCGATATCAGGGACCCGGTCCATTCGACGAAGTAACCGGCGAGGAGGGGTCCGAATGCTAGTCCGGTGTATAGACATGCATGTAGGTAGCCGATATGCACGCCACGTTTAGACGGAGGAGCGCAGTCGCTCACGTAGGAGTGACCCAGTACGCTGCCTGCTGTGAAGGAACCCGTGATGCCGTCGAAGAAAGCGCCCATGATTAACCAGTGATAGTCAACGGTCTCGGGGAATTTCGCGGCTAAGATGGTGATGAACTCGTTTACCAGACCGCCACAGGACGCTATCACCGTGAGGCGCTTTCGGCCATACCGATCA